TTGACAGGTACAATATAATTTATTACAAAATAAACTCCGATTCTCGCCTATTTTCCTCAAAACAGAAGATCATGTGCATGTTTACTGTATTTCTATTGGATATCATGGCATTGCGAGGAAAGATGATTTATTTCTATCTTTCAGAACCATAGTACTAGTCAGCAGCCAGTAGTATGTCGGTATTACTTTATAACACCCTGTTATGTTAACATCATTAGCTTTACTACACAGATATATTTTGAATATGTGAATGAATTTCGCCGTTGATGCTGTAAGCTGTACAACTTAGAAACATCCACTTTCTTCTTCTCTGTAATTATAGGTATTACTTTTAAGATTATTATTTAGGATTTAAGTGAGTCTCGTTTAGTGCTTACTTTATTTTCTAAACATCAGTGATGTTCATAACAGGATGATATTAACTGGGTACCTTTTTTGGTATACTAACTGATGTTAATCCGTGAGGATGATTATTTATACATCAAATGAATCACCAAACAGTCATTCCATCAAAACTACCGTTCAAAAATACGAGCGTATTTTCTTTACTGACCCTATTAAATATTAACTTTATTAGTAAATTTTTAATTCTTCTTTACAGATCTAGGTTAATGTTATGATTTTACGTATTTTTTTTAATTTTAACAATATATATAATGGTTTAATAATAAATATATTTTTGTTATATCCCAACGAGTAGAGCAAATGTAATTTTGACATTTCGTGACTTCATGTAAGCTACTAATCTGATGAAGTGGCTTACATGAAGTCATGAAACATCTACAAAATACCCAATTTATTTGAAACTTACTTAGTTACTTACGTCTGTTACTCCCAATGGAGCGTAGGCCGCCGACCACCATTCTCCAACCCACTCTGTTCTGGGCCTTCTTTTCTAGTTCCATCCAATTCTTGTTCATTCTTCTCATGTCTATCTCTATCTCCCGGCGTAATGTGTTCTTTGGTCTTCCTCTTTTCCTTTGGCCTTGAGGATCCCATGTTAGGGCTTGTCTTGTGACACAGTTGGGTGCTTTCCTCAATGTGTGATCTATTCACTTCCAGCGCTTCTTTATTTCTTTCTCCGTTGGGATCTGGTTTGTTCTCTCCCACAGTAGGTTGTTGCTGATAGTGTCTGGCTAACAACTGTTAATAAACACTTGTATTATCTGGATGATGGCTTTCGTAGTTTTCTAGGTTTCCACCCCATGCTGTAGAACTGTCTTGATATTTGTATTGAAAATCCTGACCTTGGTGTTAATTGACAGTTGTTTTGAGTTGCAGATGTTCTTCAGATATAAATATACTCCTCTTGCTTTGCCGATCCGTGCCTTCACATCTGCATCAGATCCACCGTGTTCATCTATGATACTGCCCAAATATATAAAGGTTTGTACATCTTCCAAATCTTCTCTGTCAAGTGTGATTGGATTGTACATGCTGTGTTGTATCGGAGAATCATGCTTTCCCCTTTGTGTATGCTGAGACCCACTGCTACTGAGGCTGCTGCTGCTACACTGGTCGTCTTCTCCTGCATTTGTTGTTGCGTTTGCGATAGAAGAGCTAGATCATCTGCGAAGTCTTGATCGTCCAACTGCATCCTAGATATCCACTGTATCCCGTGCTTCACTTCAGATGTTGACGTCTTCATGATGCGGTCGATCACCAGTAGAAAGAGAATGGGTGAGAGTAAACAACCATGCCTGACACCGGTCTTTACTTCGAAGGAGTTTGTCAACTGTCCTCTATGCACGATTTTGCAGTTTAGTCGATCATAGGAATTCTGTATGATATTGACTATCTTCTGAGGCACGCCGTAGTGTCGAAGAAGCTTCCATAGTGTTGTTCTGTCCACGCTATCAAATGCTTTCTCGTGGTCAATGAAGTTGATGTAGAGTGATGAATCTCATTCAATTGATTGTCCCACAACGATCCGTCTGTACACGATCTATCTTTACGGGATCCAGCCTGTTGGTCTCGAAGTTGAGCGTCTACGGAGTCCTTCATCCTGTTTAAGAATACCCTGTTGAAGACTTTTCCTGGTATTGAGAGAAGAGAGAGGCCTCTGTAGTTATCACACTTGCTGAGATCGCCTTTCTTTGGTATCTTGATCAGGAGTCCTTTTTAGCAGTCTGTTGGTACTTTTTCGTTATCTCAAATCTTGCTGAAGAGAATGTGGAGTATCACTGCAGTGACTGTTACATCTGCTTTCAGTACCTCTGCTGGAATGCTGTCTAGTCCTGCTGCTTTGCCACACTTGATTTTTCTAATAGCCATGCTGATCTCTTCAAATGTTGGTGGGCCAACATCGATTGGGAGGTCCGTGAGTGCTGCTTCGATGTTGGGTGGGTTCAGTGGGGCTGGTTGATTCAAGAGTTCTTTAAAGTGTTCTACCCACCTGTTTCGTCGTTCTTCAATGTTGGTGATTATCTCGCCTTCCTTGCTTTTCACTGGTCGTTCTGGTTTACGATCGTTTCCAGAGAGTTTCTTTGTTGTGTCATACAGTTGTCTCATGTTTCCTTCTCTCGCAGCCTTTTCCGCCGTCAATGCCAAATCTCCCACATATTTACGTTTGTCAGTTCTGATGCTCCTTTTCACTTGCTTGTTTACTTCTGTGTATTCAGCCTGTGCCTTGACTTTTTCTGCTCTTGTTCGACTGGTATTGATTGCTGCTTTCTTGTTCCTCCTTTCTTGAATCTTATCCAGTGTATCGACCGTGATCCAATCCTTGTGATGGTGCTTCTTTTGGCCAAGAACCTCATGACATGTTGAAGTGATTGCCTTTTTTATCTTTTTCCAGTTACTCTCCATAGTAGTTCCTTCTCCATTGAGTAGATCATGAAAGGCCTGGAACTTATCACTGAGGGCTATCTTGAATTTGTTGAGTTTGTCAGTATCCCGAAGAAGAGTCGTATTAAACTTTTGTGATATTGTCCACCCCGTTGTCCAGTACTTCTTAAGTTTCAATTTTATCTTGGCGACCAGTAAGTGATGATCTGATGCTACATTAGCTCGTCTCTTGGTTCTCTCCTCCTCCATCGTCCTCCTGAACCGTTTTATGATGCAGATGTGGTCGATTTGGTTTCGCGTAGTGTGATCCGGTGAAGTCCATGTGGTTTTGTGTATGCGTTTGAGTGGGAATATAGTGCCACTTATGACCAGTTTATTGAAGGCATTTGGGTTTGCAAATCTCTCACCATTTTCGTTCATTTCTCCCAGTCCATGTCGTCCCATGATGTGTTCATATCCGGTGTCGGTTGTCAGAAGGGACATCGGCCTCGTGACTTCCAAAGGAACTCGGCCTTCACCATGAAGACCTCCTAACTTCCATGGCAGAATCTAAATGGTTTTCGATTAGCGGTTTTTTAGCTAGTTAGTTTTCTACATGATGGGGTCGCTAACCCCATGCTCAACCCTCTCCCCTTATCCGGGATTGGTACCGGTAGTAGCACAAGAGAGACTCCAGGCGGAGTTACGGTAAAAAACTAACTTGTTAAAATTCCCACATCGTTTTTATTGTCAGATCTGTTGAAAAATTACTAGAAGTAATATTTTAGTGTGTGCTTTGTACGGACAGGTATAAGTAGTATGTTTCAAGAAGTGGAAGTAGAATTCTTACTGACAGAAGAGGAACATTTGGAGATGAAAGAAAAAAAACAAAAGCAGTCCAAGTAGTAACAGGAATGGAAGGACAATCGAGCTTGTAAGAGACAAATGAAGAATGATATGAAGCTGGATACATTGAATGGATTATTTTCATATTTTGCAAATACAGTGTGTGGTTTATTACCCTAACTAAGCCTACCTTTATAACAATATCTTGGAATCCTACTTGAGAATATTGGTCTATATATCCTAAATACAAATTTCACATGAAAAGAATTGCTACTTATACAAATAATTCTCCACAAACAATTATTCAGTTAATGCTAATTATTAAGATACTAGCTCATATATTGATGGATAAAATTTCATTATTGTTATAGTAATACTAGATAAACAGATTGTTTCAAACACTATACAATAGTTTTCAAGATAATAAATAATCAATGAAAACAGAAACTATATAAACTTCCAATAGTTATCTATTTTGAACAATCAACGTTTTAGTTACTATGTAGCCTTCTTCATGTATTTTTATTTTTTCAAATAAATCTCACCTTCAATCTAAAGTCATCAGTTTAATAAAGATAATTAAAAATCTATTAAATTATTAATGAATGAATGTACTTTAAACAAATAACACTAACAAATTTTCAATGGATCATATGATATTAAATTTAATCAATTTATATATTTGTAATATATATATATATATATATATATATATATATATATATATTAATATTATGATGTTTACCTTTACACCTGATGTAATAATATAATTAATCACATAAATATAGTCACACCATATTGTTCATTTACATTATATGATAATCATTATCATTATGTATAAATAATGTATACACATAGATTTCGCAATTTACATTTATTTTTATAAAAGAAGACATTATTAATAATAATAATAGTACTAATAATAGTACTATACTTTTATAGTCTGTTTTCACTTCTTTTGTTGATGTTCTCGTTGTTCTGTTTTTTTCGTTGTTTTATTTTTAACTGGACCTATACGTAAATGAACAATATAAAACCTAATGTGAGTTTTTTTTTCTCTTTTTAAAAAAATAAAAATTGAGTATATACATATAAATATCGTAATAATATTGAATAAGAAAACGATTATTATAATTATTATTACTATTATTTTTATTATCATTAATTTCACGTGGTACTATTTACTTGAATCTTCCTATTGATGCTTAGAACTGTAATTGGTCAGTCTCATTATTGTTATTATTACTATTTTTTTGAATTGACTTAGTGCTATTCACTTGGATCTTCCTATTGATGCTTAGAACTGTAATTGGTCAGTCTCATTATTGTTATTATTACTATTTTTTGAATTGACTTAGTGCTATTCACTTGGATCTTCCTATTGACGCTTAGAACTGTAATTGGTCAGTCTCCTTATTAATATTATTATTATTACAATTATTATGCTTCTTATCTAAATATCACAAATATATTTTAATTATAATTAATAATAATGAAAAAAATAAATGATGAATCTAATAAAATTATTGATTATAAAACACGTCAATTATTATTTTTTCAATGTCATTTAAAATTAATTAAACAAATATTTATAAAAAATAATGAAAAATTTAATGAAACCAATGCAAATTATTTATTAAATAAATATATAAATAAATATAGAAAATTAAAATGTATTGCCTATTTTCTTATTGATCGTATACGTTTAAAACGATATAAGAATTTAATTTATATAAAACCATTTCGTAAAGAAATTATCTATCGTGATATTAAACACTTTTTTATATTTCCTAATTATCCACAATTATTTATGTTGTGTATTATTGATGAATACAATAATAATAAAAAATCATATGAATTATATCAATGTATTAATTATAATGATGTTAGTGTTGTATGTAATTTAACATATAAAGCATCTATTAATATATATAATACATTATATAATACAATATCATTAAAAGAAATTAATTTAACAAATAACGATTATTCAAAATATAAATTGAAGTATTCAAGCTTCAATAATTTATTAAATCAAACAAATAATAATTTGAATTTATTTAAATCATCAAAACAAATGAATAATTCTATGATAAAAAATAATTCGAATTCTAATTTATTCATTAATTATTCTAATGATTATTCTATAAATAATAATAATAATAATGAAAAATGTTTAATTAAAAAAGAATTAATAAAGAATACATTAAATTCAGTATATTCTAATAATTTACAATCATATCATCCAAAATTTTACTCACTACATAATTTAGATTCAAATAAAGCAGAATATATTAATTCAAAGATGCATATAATTAAAAATAATGTACATAGTGATTATTCTGTACGTAAGCTGTCTCTTATTCCTCATAATAATAATAATAATAACAATGAACAACAAGAGATTTATATCAAAGATAATCAATTATTCAAACAAAAGTCATTAAATGTAACATATTCACCATTACCGTCACCATCATCATCATCACCATCATCAACAACAACAACAAGAACATCTAATGAGGATTATAATTTAGACAAATACATACATATAAACCAAGATATATTTTCTACAAATGATCATATGAATTCTAAATTTCAAGATATTAAAAGAAATTCAATTTTTCTTAAGCAAAATTTAAGTCAACCATTAAACTATAATAATAATGTCAAAATGTTAAAAACATTTACAATACCTACAGGAAATAAAGTTTATTGTCATAAAAATGATTTAGACATTTATCATGACAATATGAATATGAAAATGAATGATTATCGTCTTTTTAATGATTATGATGATGATGATAATAATTATTATTATTTTGAAAATAAACTTAGAAAGTGTAAATCTAATATAGATATAACATCAGCTGATACGACTTATTTATGTTATGATCCAGTTGTTGGTATACGTATAAATAATAAAGGCCCAATTTACATGTATATGGCACGTTATAATTCAACTCTAATATCATCAAGTCATGATTGTGTAGATTTGGAAACTTATTAAAAAAAATTATATTACTTACGATCTGTTTTACATATTTCAGTTTTGTCATAAAACTCAACTCGAATTCATTTTATGTACATATACATTCTGTAGAACTTTCATTAATATATATCTTTCTCTGTTTTATATAAGAACAAATCAAATCAGAAATGTAATGTCGATAATGTAATAAGAAGACGAAGATTATCAGAACTATGTGATGATATACTAGTGCTATACATTTCGAACAATCTGATCACACATATACTTGTTAAGAACATTTATATATAAAAAGAAGGTCAACTAGAGTGCAAATCGGGTAAGAGGAGATAAGGATAATAGCAAGAGTAATAATAATAATGTGAACACAATTTGAAACCTAACCACTTTGAGTAATAAGCCAGTAATACCAGAGTAGGTTTATGGTGAGAACAAACTGTTTTTGAATACATAAAGGGGGTTTGAATTTTCGTATGGTTAAGGCTTCAATAAGTCTTAGTGTACGCCCTTTTACACTATTATACAACACCACAAAAGCCGAGTTTAGATCAATCTTATGACCTGTTTCAATTATATGCTTAGCAATAGAGGATGATGGATGTTTATCCTCTTATTGGATCACTTGATTGTATTTGTTTCTGCAGCCATTTGGGTACATGTTCACGCACCCTGATGTCGAGATCACGATTGCTCCTCCCTGTGTATGTGTGACCACACGTATATTTAAATTGGTAAATACAGTGGGATGTGACACAATCATTTTCATGTCTTTTATCTTTTGGATGAAACATTCACCTTGTTCTTTCTTTAATAATGACCTTTGCTGCGCAATACGTTTTACTGATGACTGATTTAAGTCTTTGTTTCAATAAAAGATTATTTGAATCACCTCTGAACGGTAAGGTGATGTAGACAAGCTTTTTCTACTGAGACTACAGTAGGTCTCACTGTACCATGGACTTTTCATCTATTTATGAATTTCAGAGGACAACCATTTTCTACTAATGTTTTGTTTAACAACTTAACATCATCGTCAATGGCATCAGTTGTACAAATACGATCTAGCCTATTGAAAAGACACCTTATCAAACCACGTTTTTATTGCGCAGGGCAATAACTACAATAACTAAGGTTTTCTAAGAATGGATCGCTTGACTGAGCCATCTTTTCGTCTACTCAAAAGTATATCTAGGAAGGGGAGCGGATCGTTCTTCTCCTTTTCACATGAGAGACTGGTATGGTTTTGGAGAGTGTTAAGTTTATTTAATAAACAGTACATATCCTCTTTTCCTTTACAAACAACGGAGATATCAACCATATATCTCTTATAAAGTGACATGTTTTCGATTAGATCATTAGTCTGATTTTCAACATGTAATGACTTTTTTGTTTGATGATTGAAAATTATTTGAAGCTGGAGGATTTCGCTATCTAACCGTCGTATTTTTTTCAAAGGTTTCCATTCAATCTGGATGTACAAATTCTTGTATAACTTTAGTACAAAATTATTATTATTATTATATTTCATAATTTTATAACTTCACAATTACAGTTAATTTCCCTGATGCATAAAATTAAAGTATATTGGTACGATGTCACATCATTAATAGTGGAGTGTGAGAATCAAAGTATTCACGTTACGAGGTTTATGGTAATATTCTAAATTTCTGTCGTCAACGATGGTAGTGTAATATAACATTTAACACTTATATCTTTGAACAAGTTAATTTGACAAATAGATTTGTAAAAAGTCTTTTAAAGGTGATAGCTTTAATAAAATTAGACTACTTAATTCATTACTTGTATGCCTTAAATTACCATTCACAGAGCAACTATTGATTAAAAGTAGCTATAACGTGCTCTGATAGTCTGGTTGAACATTATAAATATTAAAATTCAACAAACTTTTCTACATTTCCTATATATCTTTTTTTCATATGTAATCTGAGAAGGTAATCGGTCAACCTGTTTAATATTTAACTTAAATTACATGCAATAATATACTAAAAAATTATCTCACTTTCAATAACCAATGTTACCTAAATAATTATCAAACTCACTTAATGACAGTTGATAATACGGAACTGGAGTTGGAAATTAAGACTAAACAGTTTTCTAATAGTTGATTACGAATTTTGACATTAATCAAAATAACATTTAGTGGCCCAAAATCTGACTCCAAATAGATCGTATGTTGATTGATAATAAAATATACATCCTGGCTACCCTCGTATATAATCACCGACTTTAATCGCGTTGGTGAATAACGGAATTAAATAAGTCAAATATGACAATGAAATTTTGGATATGTATATATTGTATAATCGTTGATCGTAAAGCTAAGTAAAACAAAATGACGCACAATGTAGATGGCAAGTGAACCAACTCAATTTAACCAAGCGTTAATCGATAGTTATAGTCAGACAAAAATAAGTTACAAACATGTGATGATTAAGATAACAAATGCACGCACATACGTTTGCATAAAAATAGTCACGGTTGCTAAGCCTATAAGTGACGAGGTAAAAATATAGCTTGAGAAGAATGGATAAATTGATCTGACCAGAGGATAGAACAATCCATGTGGGCTTGATATGCTAACAGCCCCTGCAAATAAATCAATTGTTCCACCATATTGAGTTGGATAAGATTAAAGTTTTTATGTATATTGACAATTTATTAGTAATAATGGAGATACTATTCAAAGAATATATGATTATCCCAACAGATTACAACCAAACAATTTAATTCTCTTTTATAAAGAAAATATTACATAACACGAGATTTCTATGTGATAACATGTTCAGATAAATTTATAAACAATAGTCATTATTGGGATCTAAATAAAGGTTTTACCAATCTGTTTAGTTCTATTGATATGTTAGAGATATTTATTTATTTAAAAAGAAAAGATAAAATAATAATCTGGAAAATCAATAATCCATACTTGTTCACATACTATGTATCACACCTGATAGAAAATTATCAGATGGTTATCACATTTTATTATCCATAATTGATGAAGAGAAAAATGTAATATTAATTAAATTAGATTAGTTTAACACTAAAAAAATAATGATGACTAAGCCAATTTTTACAGCTTACATTGTAACTAATTGACTACATTCTATAGAAACATTATTTAACATTACAGTTTACAATTGTACAATAGTTTGATATGCAAAGCATGAAAATCTGTATTGTAAAATTCAATAAAGACTTTATCAAATTGATTTATAAAGTGATAGTGATTATTGATTGAGATCATAAACCTGCTGATGTTAGAACATCGTTGGAAACCTGGAAGCACTGGACGGCCGTCTCGTCCTAGTATGTGACTCCTCAGCAGTGCATATCCACGATCCAGCTCGCGGGATCTCAATCAAATCTTAATAATCTCCACAACCCCAATACTAATGATTAGTTGTTAGCTAGTTGTTGTCAGTTTGTAAGTTTCAATTGAGTCGAGATTAAGCAAAGTGAATCAAGAAAGTGTACGTGTTTGTTTAAATTGATACCGTTTAAGTTTGTTTTACATGTCTAATAGTATCTATCATTCAAAAGTAGAGCAGGATTATAACTAGTTTTATACAGACTATCTTCGAAACGCCAACGACCTCGGTGAATTCAAAATAGTTCACAGCAACAAATTTGAATTCTTCGAGCATCTAATAAAGGCGAAAAAACAGTACAGAGAGCAACTAGAAAGGGATTAAAAAGGGAGGAATCCATTATGTTAGAATGTTCTGGGTCATAAAAGTCACCAACATGAAAATCATATTTCAATAAATAGCCTTGATGAGATTCGAGAAACAAAGCACAAGAAGACAACAGCCTACATAGTTTGGAAAAATGTGAAGAGAACCAAGACTCAGATTAAGAATACTGAAGAAAACAAATGAGTGAAGAAGAACTATAGAACTGACGAATGGAAATGTACAGAAAATCTGTGGACCATGACAGAAAAAGCTGTGAGAATAGAGAATATAAGAGGTGTTTATGATACAACGAAAAAGTCAACAGTAATATACAGAAAACCAGAGAAACCAATCCAGGATAAGTGGGAAATACAATTTGAAGAGCTCTTCAGTACACTAGACACACTGAATCTATCAAACATTGAAGCGACACATACAGATCTCCTCATGAATGCTGCAGCACCAACAATCATATGAATCAGAAAGAGCATCACAAAAATTGAGAGGGATAATGGGCAAGACCAGCTGTCAGCTGACAGTAAAGTCATAATTTTCAAAATCGACGTTGAGGTGGTTCTGTTGTGTGTGCCTGATAAGTTGGAGACTTCTACAACCATCATCAAAAGCTTATAGGTATCTTAAACGTCTGTCAACTCAACATACTCCATATCCGTTAACCGGATACCATCACCTACACCCTACTATGAGAGAGAATATACCAGGTTGCAGCTAGAAAAGCAATTAGGAATAGGTGTTGTTGGCTAGGGTACAAATTGCATAAATCATCAAACCGAACACGAGGTAATCCTTATCTTGAAAATCTCTAAGGCTTAAGCAGAAGAGTGAGATCTAAGAACACTTTGCGCTGGTAATTGGAAGCAGGCATCAAAAAATGAATATTAACTGAGAATAATTGAAAATAGGGCTCAGTTAAGAGTTGGTTAGACATTCCTGATCAGCGACCTAAGTCCCATGATGAGCAACAGGTGTAAATAACTAAGTATGCCTAAGGGACAGACTAGAAGTTTCATGATCACCACACTATGTTTTACTGTACAATCAGTGAAGTAAACGCTTGATAACTTTGGTTCATGCTGTCCGATAACCATTCCATTAACCAAATCCTCTTTTTACACATGGAAAACTTGGTTTACCAGACTCTTAAAAACTTATGCAGCTTAATTTGAAAATTACGATAGCTCAATTCATTTTATTTGTATTTGAATTAAGAAGAGAGTACTTATTTCAGTTGGTATCATAATAAAATAGCCATCCTCACATTTCTCTCAATACGATGGATAAAGCACGTGATGATTGAATAGAAATCGAGTTTTGATGAATAAAATTTTGTTCCAGCAGATTAGCTGGTATTGAAGAGGTAAGTAATCTGATACTTTTGATTATGACTTATTGCTTTTAAATGCCAATCTACTTTGCTAAATAAAACTGTTGTTGTTCGTCATTTCAGCAAATAATTTAAATACACAATGGCTTACAGATTGTCACTCCATTACTTAGTAATGAATTCTTTTCTATATTTGCATAAGATTTGCAAATATTTAGTGTAAATAAAACGTTAGTGTTTACCAAGTGTTATGAAGAAACAGAATGTGAAATTCATTAACCAATTCATATTTATTTAACACACCTAACTGTATTTTCTAACGTTATATGTATATGTATAGTAAATTTTATTTTTGAGAGGAAGTAAACGAGATGC